CACATCAAATAGCAGCCGCAAATGAAACTCATCCATCGAATTTAGGATATCCAACGTCTGAGTCTGAAATGGCAACAGATATGGTTTCAGCTCGGTAAAAACCGTGACCGCAGGGTTTAATGCAATAGTTGGACGGAGCAAAAAGCCCTAGTTTGATCAATAACCCTGAGCGAAGGAAACAAATCAGAGGGCAAACAGGAAACGGCGTCGTCTGGCGCTTCCAGAAATATCAAACGATTTGACAGGGCGGCTAACAAAGCTAATACAGCACGAACGGAGGTTCTACACGTTAAATTTTAAACGGTTGACTGCTTCAGCTCAAAGCAAGGCACAATGGTTGCAAGAGCATCGACAAACATTACATCAAAGAAAATAAAACTTTAAGCCACATTCACAGAAAAATACGCACGAAAAATAATGCAACACCAAAGGTACCGCATGCTACAAAAGTTTCATAAGTTTGCTATTTGCTCTATAGGATAGGAATCTAGAAACAATTTCAAATCAAGTCAATATTTTGGAAAACGACGCATTTCGGATATGACTGTGTCCACTCGCACTCGCCCACTACCTCCCTGAGCTTCATATCCCTCCCTTCCCTCCCTTCCTCCCCCTCTCTCTCCATCCCCCTTTCCTCCCCTCCCCCTCCCCTTCTCTCTTCCTCATTTCCCTTATGTCGTCGACCAGCGTTCCACGACATTGATCCTCTTCCCCTCCCCTCCCCTCATTAGTCGACGGAGACGACGTAACGAAACCGTCGGCTCCGACGCTGCCGGGCCGTCGGCTCCGACGCAGTTCAGTTTCTCATCCTAGGCGGCACGAGACGCGGTCCAAAAGGCGATCGGAGAAAGAAAACGGCCACTGGAAAAGTTACGCGCAGAGGAGGAATCGAACGGTGCTATGAAAGAGGTTCGCAAGAATAATTTTTACTAAGTTGTGTCCAATTTCTTCTTAGGTTGAGGAAATGAAAAAGAAACAATAGTTTGATAACAAAATATCAATAATATGAGACTCATCCCGGCGGGGTATCCCCGTCATACACCCAGAAAGCAAACAGATCACACTGTAAAAAATGTTTACTAACACATTAGTTATTTATTCAACATAACGCTAGTGTCATAACACATATATGTGTTATAAGAGTGTAACCTGCAGCAAGAAAATGATTTAACGAGTTCTGAAACACGGGGTGTTGCAATCACCACACGGATACATTTGATTAACTCGTTGATGTGCTTCAAAACAAAGATAAAGTGTGTGCTGCGATGTGAGTTATTAAACACATACGCGTGTTTAAGACAACCCCGGCTCAAAAATCGAGAGACGTGTTATCAAACTTGCCTTCAGCGTGCCGATCAGTAACATTACACGTATTATGCTAGTAAACCATTACACGCAGCTAAGTTACTGCAACAATGTCGCCATTTTGTGCGGATCGCGCGCGCGACTCCGCCGCATTCATCTGAGGCCTGTTTGCGAAGTGGTGTCTCAAATGGTAAGTGAAGAAATATGATAAAATACCTATTGTCTAATGAAACTGTGTGATTTTCACATGCATTACATGTATTTGTATTCATTGTGCATTACGATTATATAACTATGAAACATATCAACGGTCAAGGAAGGCATGCATGTGAATGGCAGTGTCAATAGACAATTTGCCATGTACAGCACATTAATTGCACATATAGATGATAAATTGGTTATGTTCTCCAGTCACAGGTAAAATATTTATTTCCTCCTACTCATCCAGTCTGCAAAATGTGGCAGGGAGCTTGACAAGATTTTCAGGGCAGACAAAATACTCAGAATGCTGAGACTCAGGGCAGCACAATTCCTGCCCCTAATAATGCAAATGATTTAACGCTATAATGATGTGGAAGGTGGTGAGGAGCTGAGCAAAGTATTTCTGTCCCAATTTTTCAACTTCTGCCCCAACATTCCTAAAACCTGCCCCAGTTTTTGCCCTGATCCATGATGACTGCTCCGATGAGATCTCGTCAAATCCTGCCATGTTTTGCAGACTGGCTACTCATGATAGAACAACCATTTTAGACTGAGGTGAGCAATAACAATGGGTATAGTTTAGTGTCAGAGGTACCTTATAGTTTTCAAAACAAGTTGATGGGCATAAAGAGCTGAGGCGAGCATTGTACCAAATATGGACATGCTGCATTTTTATATTTGGAAACGGAAGGTGCACGCTCACCTCCTTGACGAGCTACGCAAGTTCTTGCAAAACTATGCACAACACTGTTTCTAAAAATGAAAAGCTAACATTTGAATCTACGACAGATAGGTAGGTACAGGGGCCACTCCACGGTGTGACGACTGGAGGGGACATTGACCATTTTGGAGGGGACGAGGACCATTTCAAGTCTTCCATGCAACGCCATAGGCGTAATGTTAAAGTTTTAAAAAGTGGAGGGGATGAGATCCCCTCCGTCACACCCCTGTGGCGACGCCCTAGGGTAGGTACCATGGTTGGTGGGTCAAAATCCATGGTTAGATTTTTCCATGCCAGCCTGTGATATAAAATTTTAGGTTGTGATTGCAGATGGAGCGAAACTGGGATGAATGACGGAACACTTCCATAAATGTTTCCTTTCAAATATGATAGCCCAAACCTGGTTTGGGCTGATACTTAACTGACTTGGGCTTCACAAATATTTTTAACTTTGACAAAATTCACTCCACATTTTAACCCTCTTTATTTTCTGATGCCAATAGATGGCAATCAGCCATCCAGTTACATTACACATTTTGCTTGGAAATAAATCACCTGGAAGTTCAGAGTTTCCACTTATGACAATGCACGATGCAAGTCTCCATTTATGGATCAAAAACTTTTCATATTTAGAAATGTTTCCAAGAATAGAAGCATTTCCATAGATGGAACGAAACTACCTACCACAATGTGCCTCAGCCTGACTGACCTGCAACCAATCTCAATCTAACATAAAAAATTGTTAGAACCACGCACAGCTTATTTAGGGGAAAAGTAATCACATGTGATCATGCTCCATGACCCACACTTAAAATACAAAGCAATCCACTTCATAAATGGATAAATGCTGAAATTCACGTGAAAATATGAAATCAAGGTCGGAGTTATATGGCCTTGCCATTACAGCGTTACCGCTGGTATTTTGCTGGTTTCCCCAGATTTCCACACAAATTTCCCTATTTCGGGCACTCATTTCCCTAGATGCTCATTTGCATATAAAATTTAGTCCAAATGTCCCTGATTTAGAAGGCCTTGCTTGATTTGACCCCAGAGCGAACATCCCGAAGGATTTTACTACAAGAAAATCCTGAGCAGCCCTCATCTTGGGTAGTAATTCACCCGCTGGCCGATTCTTCGGGATATGCTTGCTCCATGGGGTAAAATCAAGCAAGCTGCCGCAGGGCCGGCGCCACAGATTTCGGACTGCGGGGGCAGCTTGTCCCGATAAAGGGCCCATGCGGAAAGGCCCAAGGTAACCTATACACAAAATCTGAAAACTCCTCGGATTTGGCTCAATATTTTTTCGAGAGGGGCCCAAATTATGCAAAAATGCATGTTCCTGCAATTTTTTTAAAGGGCCCGGCTGGCAACTGGTGGATGGGCGGCTTCCCCCTGCCCCCCCCCCCCCTGTGGCGCCGGCCCTTGCTCTGCTAAATCAGGGACATTGACATTTGGACTTGTGCACTAGGGAAATGAGTGCCAGAAATAGGGAAATTTGTGTGGGAATCTGGGGAAACCAAAAAAAAACAGGGGTAACGCTGGCCACGCGGATTCAGTGTTTACCTTGGCTGATTCCGAAGGTCTATGAAGCTAGGCAGTGTGTGCATAATTTGAAGATATTGATTAATAATAGTCAATTTTATGGTTTCAAAGCTTACTTAGAGGCTATAGCTAGAGTGTATATGCTAGTAATGCTGGGCGTCCTTGGAGCCTACCTAGTGTTTTGCAAGGAAGTCTAGTGTGCGCCACATTTGCCAAGCAATTGACACGTGAGAAGTTATAATTTATGTGTGTGGTTTCAGTCGGGCACACTGTGATAATTCCGTTCCATATTTTTTTTATAAATTTAGTCCAAATGTTTGATTGGGTGGCTTGAGGGATCCGAGTCCACACTAAGCATAGCTTGTTGTGCCTGTCTCTGAACAGTGAACCCACCACCCGATCACGCAATTCCAGTGCTATGGCAGAATTTCGTCTGAAAGTTTAACGTGCCCGGTAGACTGGACACGGTCCCCTCCGCCCACTCATGCTCTCTGGTCTTCGTGCGGCCCCTGCCACATACATGCACGCCATTACACGTAGGGGCCAAATGTTACCGCTCACACCTGCACTGGGGCTTGAACCGGGCTCTCACCACCAGTTCCAGCGTTGAACTCTGGCGCTTTAGACCACTCAGCCAGGAATGGGACTGGCCTTCTGGTTTTATAGAAACGTTCCTTTATTTGAAACATTCCTTAATATAGAAACACTAGGTAGGTACTGTTCCAAAACTGGAAATGCTCAGAAACGCCAATCTTTCTGGGTGATTTATTTCAAAGCAAGATGTGTTATAACTGTCTAGATGGTGGACTGCCATCTATTTATATTGGCATCAAGGAAGCACTGCAGATGGAAATGCGGTGTCAATTTTTCCAAAACTTAAAATAACAGGCGAGCACGCACCTTCCGTTTCCACATACAGAAACCCTATTCCATATTTGGAACAATGATCACCTCAGCATTTCTATCTATGGAACATTGTTTCTTTATACTGAAACGTTTCTACATATAGTATATGGCACGGAATAACCACAGTGTGCTCAACTGGTTTGGTATCTGGAGCAAGGCCTCTGGAGCTTGTAATTTTTGTTTCATATTAACTATGATGTTGGTTGCTTCTAACTTAGTATTTTTGTGGAATTTCTCTCCACCCAGAATATCAGTTTGGTTGTTGGTACCCCGGATATTCTAGTTGGAAATCAGCATTGGTTCAATTTTGGTTTTACCTCCTAAGATTTTCATCCCACCAACTTGTTTGAGAAACTCCACCCATGGGTGACACCGAAGCCTGTCAGTTGGGCAAACTGCAGGGAAGCAGTCCAAACATGGATTGATCAAAATTAAGATATAACATCACAAAAATGGGTGGAGCAATGCCCATATAAGGAGATGTAATTTATATTAATATTACAATTCTGACTTGCTCCCTTTCAAACCCCTCGTCACCAGTCAAAGTCCCCATGATGGTGAGATATTCACTGTGGTTAAAAGGAGTGAACAGCTCTATCTAAATGATGCATCTGATGATGATGTGTTGTGGCTTTTGCATGCTATTTCTGAAGATAGGAGAGGACATCTCTGAAAATTGGATTTCAACTGTCAAAATAATCTAAATTAAAATTCAGCATAATCTATTTTAATATTAGCCACCTGACAACGTCATCTAAAGCAGGTTACCCACTTGTTTCTGTCCTGGAATCAGGTGCAGATAATCTAAATTTTGATTATTTAATTTATCTTGTAGGTGGAATTAAAATATCTTCAAAGGTTCTTTTTTGCTTATGAGATGTAGCCTGAATTATTTTCTCTAGTATCTGAAGCTGTGGTAAGCTTGTCGTTTTCCAGAGCCGTGATTTAACCATTCCAGTGAGGGTCTGCAAGCATGCCCAAATATGGGCACAAATTGTGATGTAATAATCTAAGTTAAGATCAATCCATTTTAGATTTTTTTTCCCTGCAGTTTGCCTGACTGCTGTGTGTGAGGCTGTAGCCCACTCTAGGCAGAGCACCACAACATATTTGTGCACAGGTTTTATGAATATAAATGACCTATAGAGTCATTCACTGGGTAAATCTTTGGGACCCACTCAGCTCTGAGCTCCACCCCATTTGCTCAAACCCAAACACTGTTTAAAGGCCCTGAGCAGGAACACCTTGCAGGCAAGTCCCTAAATATGCTTGCAGGTAGGTGGACCAAATGAAACAACTAGGGAAGGAGTATCAGATTTGGACAAAGTCCTCATCAAACCAGTGGGGGTAAGCTGGATGAAAGTAGGTAGAACTCGTTTAGCGTAAAGTATGTACAACCCAAATCTATCATATTATATATCTATCAACTCTATCATATTAATGAATACTTTTCTCATAAACCAATCCCTAAACACCTGGATGTCTCGTATCTTTTTCAAGTAGCGTCATACTCTTGCAGATCTCTCACCATGACCCATAACCGCTATATGGATCTAGCGGACCGGGCGCTCGAGCAGTGGCCAGCTCTGCTGCACGGCTTGACTTCAAGGCAGGCACTGGTAAGCGCACGAATGACATGAATTAGAAAAGCGCATGGATGTAGGATTTAATTTATGAAAAGCGCATGGATGTAGGATGTCATGGTGCCTCTGGGTGGTGGTCGGTGGATATGATTATATCGCAAATTTATTTAGGGACTCGATGATTTTACATGTTAAACGACATTAAAATGATAAAGTCGGCAAAAGATGGTTCTCTGGATGAAAGTGAAAATAATTTTGTTTATGTTATTTCGCTCGCCCGTCCCTCGCCGAACACGGCGGTTTACTGGTAATTTAGTGATTACATAGGATTCTCCCATTTTCTCTCCAGGAGCAAGTAAAAAACAAGATTCAATGGCGTGTGAGGAACTATAAACGACCGGACCCGGGTGTCATGGGATCATTCAAGCGGCCGGCCCAGGCGACAGCGGCGAAGAAGGCGAAGAAGTCCAGACGCTACGAAAACTTCGAGGGATATCAAGGTATGATTACGAGCGAGTGAGCGCAGCGAACGAGCGAGTTCTTTTGAGATTAATGGGAAAATCTGAGTATTCGCGACCCGGCCCGGCCCGACCCGACCCGACCCGGCCCCATCACGCTGTGCAGTGGGTGCATTTGCTCACGCGCCGGGGCTAAACGGCTGGGGGTAGGAGCCTGAAATTTGCACGGCGCCGAGGTGACGCTGCGAACCGGTGCACCGTGGTCGTTTCGAGTCGATGCGGGCCCGGGGAGGTGCGTGGCACGCGCTGGAAAAAAATGCATTTTCTCCCATTGCCTCAACATGGGAAAATGAAGGCAACGCGTCGTCAAAACGCCAAAATGAGGCCGGCAGGGGTCGCTTCCCGGGCCCGTAGCTCGGCGCCCCGACGGCCGATCGGCATGCGGCAAACGCTGCCCGATCGAGCTGGCGAATGGGGTGCGTGTCAGGGGTGTTGTGCAGCACGTGCGTTGCCAAGGGCTCTCCCGTTTAAAAAATACCCTGGACGCCCATGACACGGCAACCTGTGGTCCATGCTCACCTATGCCCAGTTCGCCAACTTACAGCCCATATGGGTCCCATTCGGGATGGCTCAATGGGTTATTTTTGGTCAAAATTAGCGAAAGATGACGTCACTGTACTCCCCTGGCGACCTGAAGCTAGGATCTTAAATTTTGTTTTAAAGATGTAAAATTGATGTCTGGTGGGGTATGCCAAATTACAAGTCGGTAGCTCTTCACATTTCGGAGTTATTCCAGGAAAACATGGGGGCGTTTCGCCCCCCCCCCCCTCCCCCAGCGGGCCGCGTGTTAAAGGCCGTTTCTTGCTTCAAAAATAAAACACTCAAAAGCTGCCATTTTTACAGACTACCGCCGGAACCAGGGGACCTCCCCCAGAAAAGGCAAGAAAAAGA